AAATTCAGAAGCAATAAAATTCGTTAATAACAATTATAACAATATAAAGCCTTGTTAACTACTAGACTTTGAAAGGATACAAGATACTCGTAGTAGGTTAATTTGAAATTTTACATCATCGATACACAGATGCGTAATTATGTACCTACCTACAACAGTTGCGATAAGTTGTTGTTTATAAGGAGATTATTAGACTTAGGTAGACACCTACACTTATATAAACTTTTCAGTTCAACATTGATTCTGAAAATATATTGTCAGATGTACTGTTATGTACTGTTACATGTCGATCTAAGAATTCATGGAAAATGCAGAACCAATTAATCTATACTAATATTATAAAGAGGTAAAATTTGTGAGTTTGTGACGTTGTAGGGGGTAATCTCTGGATCTACTGAACCTATTTAGATGAAATTTGGTAGGAAGATAGTTTGAGACCCTTAAAACATGTATACTTTTCATTATCTTGCAAATGGTTTGCATTGCATTGAGAAAGCTATATGGTATAGATACTGTTGCCTGTTAGTTTTAAGATAATATATAATTTGTTGCTTAACACGTTTTCAGAACAACGTTATTTTTTAATTGCCTGAGTATACGAATTCATATATAATTTAATTCTTTACAAACTGATTTTCTTTCTTCTTTTTATATAAGTGACATAACGTACGTATTCAAAATGTTGGCTCAAATTAAATAATCTATACTATAATAAAGCAGTAACTTAGCGAAATCTGTACATGTAATATTTAAAAAAAATGACTGTAACGTACACACAATATAGACCCCAAAACAATAGTTTGACAAAAATTTTTGTCTGTATGTCCGTTTGTGTGTGCGCATCTCATGCAAAAAGTAATGAAGTGATTTCAACGGGTGAAGTGATTGATTACTTATTACTCGGGTCAACATTTAGGTTACCTTTTACTTCAGTAAAATCTTTCTTTCCCACGGGAAAACACAATAACTGGTTTTATCGAATTCTCCTTAGAAACCTTCCGTTAGCTAAGCCTTAAGACATACATCAAAACAATGTACAAAAAAATTGTAGGTTTTCAATAAGCGTACAGAAAAATCTGCAGAAGTATAATATTATGTCTATCTCATAAAACATAGTCGGGTTTGTTACAACACTTATAAGTCGAGAAATGCGAGACCGATTTTTATGATCTTTGTTTTGCTGGATTTATCTTCACCCTGAATAGCAGAATATCTATAAAAATAATCTAAAAATTCACTAAAAAGAACCAGAAAAAAGTATCTATTCCACACTAAGCGTCAAAATGTACCTAACTAATATTAAAACTAGTATTAAAAATGCAGGCTCTAATATTACAAATTCTTGAGATTTTATATAGATTCCTATATGCAGATATGGGAATCTATTTAAAATCTCAAGAATTTCTAAAGCAGTTTAGAACTTTTTCTTCTGAAATATTCATGCTGTTCATCATAGAATTTTGCATTATATCTGAATTTTTCGTACAATTTCTGTCCCTTTTAAAACCTACTAAATTTTAAACATGTAGCTTTAAAAACTTTTGATTTAAATAGCTATGACATACGAACAAACTGACATGACGTAATTACAAGGGTTCTAATTTAGCCATTTGGCTACGGACCCCTAAAAACAATAACGTTATGATGTACCGACTATCGTATATACGAGTATTATCTATAATTATATAATAAGAACTGTTTTAACGTTATGTTTACTACAATTGATACTTTTGTGGGCACCAACATTTGCGATGCATATTAAATTATCAAAAATATGCAATTTGAATTTATAAACAAATAATTAAGGTATCATCGTTGCTTGATATAAACATTCATTACAAACAACATTATATAAAAAAATAGACTCGGCTTTATAATATTTTTTGTAAGTTATAAATTTCATATCTTTATATTTTTTACTTTATTACAATGCAAAGATTTTGAAGTACAAACGGAGGGTTCACGATTTAAATTACTTTTTAATTAAAAGATTAACCAACTTCACAATCTCTTTAAAAGTAATTATTAGTGGATTTTTACTTCCTTTTCGAGATTATGGGATCGCTATCCTATTAATATTATAAATGCGAATGTTTGAGGATGTATGGATGACTGGATGTATACGTATATGTATGTTTGTTACTCTTTCATGCAAAAAATACTGAATGTTTTGCTAGTTATTTGAATTACATAATATTAATACTTATAAATATAGATTATTTCGTCATCTCAAGTAGATAGAGGTACTCGTAAATATTTGCCATTTACAGTACGCAATTTAGTTTACAATTTAGTAAATAGTGAAAGATTAAAGTAAAACAAGACTCGCGCGCGAGGGTGTCTACCGGCACTAGTTAATTATAAAAGAATTTTCATAAATCCGTACATAATTGGCAAAGATATCGTATAGCATCCTCAAAAAACATACAAGAAAATGAGTGATTTTGTCCTTTTTGGTGTCGGTCAAAAGACCACTACTAACGAATTGCTTCTGTTTAGAATTAAAGAATACCTCTTTCACACAATATTTACAAAACTAAATTGATATACAAATATTATTGATCTAAAATCTAAATGTTGACACGCTCACATCATACGTAAAATTAACTGAAATATATTAGCGTAACTCTTTTGAATTTATTTTATACATTCTTGTTTTTATTTACGAGTATAAAGTGACTTAATAGTAAAGCGCATTGTTATTCGAATTTCAATATTTCTCGGATCAAAAAATGGCAGACTTGTATCATTTGAATGCCGAATTCTTTAAACCGTATCTGACTATACTTAAATATTTCAGAGCTACTGGAATCGACATTTTTGGTGAAAAACACCCTATATTTAAATTTAAGTACATATATTGTTTTGTATTTTTACTTTACTTACTGAATTCAATAAGTCATTGGCGCTATGTCATTGAAAAAATTCATGGTGGAGCGGATTTGTTAGAGCTGGCAGTGGATTTGTCATATAGTTACAACTCCATAGAAGGTAAGGATATGGAAAATAATAATTCTTTATAGGAGCTTAAATCTAAAGATGTAAAAGATGTATAATATATGCAGGATTGAATAATATTGTATACTAGCATTGCCCGCGGCTCCGCCCGCGTTCATATGACCAAAACCAAATTCTTAGGTTTTATATATTAGTATACTCGTATTAGTAAATTAGTTGACCCGGATAATCAGCTATTACCATACCAAACTTCAAAATCCCTCCAGTGATTTTTATGTGATGCGGTCACAGACAGACAGACAAAAATTCTTAAAACTACAGGTTCGGCCTCTATTAGCGATAATAATGTGTATAAAATTTTCCAAAAAATATTTAAAGCACATACTGCTTCATTAAATTTTAATGTATCTATAGATATAACTAATTTTTAAAGCAAAAAGATTGTTTTTGATAATTTAAACACGGGCGGGGACGCGGGTAACTTAGTAGTAATTCTAATAAAATCATAGAAAGATCGAATTTGTACATTCAATTTTTTGGAATTAAAACTACGTATTTTAAAGACACATGGCGACATCTATTGACAAATCTATACATATAATAAAATTCTAACTGAGTCAAATCTGTACATTAAATATTTTTTGGAAAATCTTATTGATATAGATATTATTATCAATACAGAGGCCGAATCTATAGTTTTTAGAATTTTTGTCTGTCTGTCTGTCTGTCTGTTACCACATCACAGAAAAACTACTGGAAGGATTTTGATGAAATTTGGTATGATAATAGCTGATTATCCGGGTCAACATATAGGGTACTTTTTACCGCGGAATAACATTTCATTTCTGAGAAAAAGTACAAAAAACTGTAATTAAGAGTATACTAATATGGAAAACCTAAGAATTTGGTTTTTGGTCATCTGAACGCGGGCGGAGCCGCGGGCAATGCTAATACTATATAATACAGATATCCATACATATAATAAAATTGTAACTGAATCGAATCTATATATTAAATATTTTTCGGAAAATCTTATTGAAATAGTCATTATTATCGATACAGAGGCCGAATATATAGTTTTTAGAATTTTTGACGGTCTGTCTGTCTGTCTGTCTGTCTGTCTGGGAACGCATCACGAGATAACCACAGGACAGATTTTGATGAAATTTGGTATGATGATAGCTGATTATCAGGGTCAACATATAAGATACTTTTTACTGCGAGAAAATACCTCATCTCTGAGCAAACTATAATAAACGTTAAAACGTAACTAAGAAAGATCCCGAGCGGAGCGAGGGTGAGTCGCTAGTATCTAAATAATACAAAAATAAATATTCATTAAAATAATGTTTTTAAGGAATAAAATAGTGCTATTAATATACTTTTTCAAGATTAGCTATTTTTAATAGTTTTTGACATATTTAGTAAGTTAACTTGCTAAAATCTATATAGTATCATCGTTTTTTTATTCTAACCAGTTTTTGTATTTTTTCTCAGAAATGAGATATTTTTCTGCGGTAAAAAGTATCCTATATGTTGACTCGGATAATTAGCTATGACCATACCAAATTTCATCAAAATCCGTCCAGTAGTTATTCTGTGATGAGGTAACAGACAGGCAGACAAAAATTCTAAAAACTATAGATTCGGCCTCTGTATCGATAATAATGTCTATTCAATAAGATTTTCTAAAAAATATTTGATGTACAGATTTGACTTAGTTAGAATTTTATTATATGTATAGATTATATGCAAACTAAAATTTCCCACTAATTAATTTCCAAATTATTATGTGAAATTTTTAGAGAAATATCATAAATGCAGCTTCTCTAATTATATTGGAAAAGCTACGTGAATTTATAACCACAATATTTGAATTTGGAACAGTTTGTTATGGATTAAACAGAGCCGAACGGTAAAATTAATTTTGCATTTTACGTGTATATTACAAAAATAAGCTAATACTATGCTATACTTATATTACAGGTTGTTTAATATACTTGCATATTTGTATAATTAAAACGCGCATCAAGAATTTCGTAATGAAACTTGAAACACAATGGCGTAATGATGACACCTTGCCTATGAATATTGTATTGTTGAAGCGACAACAAGTCAAACAACTTGATTTATACAATTTCAGTGAGTCACGCACATTTTTTTGTTTGAGACCTTTTTTTGATTAAAAATCTACATCGTAGGTATATTATAAATTCTTGGTTTAACATTTTTTACAGTGTGATATCGAGATCTTTTATCCCTTTACCTATTTTACAATATTTTTATTTAACTAATTCTAATTAGGTATAGCTAGGTAGGTCATTTTTATACACTAGTACAAGTATAAGGAGTTCTTCTTCTGAATCTCGATGAAGGAGATCTTGCGTTAATAATATTCAAGTTAAAAATGTCTAGATTTCTTACCTGAAGGTGTTCTGAATATTTATTTAGTCCTTTTTAACGTCCCACTGCTGAGCACGGGCCTCAATGGTGAATTGGCAAACAGCCTTCAATACGAGGGGGATCAGGCCATAGTCCACCACGCTGGCCAACTGGGTTGGCGGACTTCACATGTCTTTTGAAAACTTGCTAGGTTCTTTCAGACATGCAGGTTTTCTCACGATGTTTTCCTTCACCGTAAGGCACATTGAGGGGGCTGTAACTATGATTCTTTTCTAACTCGTCTATTGTAATTAATTAAATTTAACAAAGTACATGCACTGAAAATATATACATAATTAAGCATAATTAACTTTTAACTTCATACTAAATATGTATGTTGTTTTATCTTTCAGTTTACTGCACATTGCTTACAGTTTTCATCCATTGTTATTTGGCAACTCCTTTATTAATGATGCTTTTCAAAAAGTTTATACTGAAATACGACGAAGCTTATATAACACCTTTAAAATTTTCTTTACCATTCGATTATCAAGATAATATTATAAAGTTTATTATTATTTACATGTTGGATTATGTAATAGGTAAGATTTTATATATTTTATTACCTAAATGGTGACCGGAACCGCTGAACTTTTTGTTATGGGACTTTCACTAGTTAAAATTATAACTCAAACTTAAACTTAAATTTTACTATTACAATTATTTTATAAACAACAAGCGACTCACCCTCGCTTCGCTCGGGTTCATCCCTAGGTTGATTCCCCGTACAAACTTTCATCCCCATTTTCACCCCGTTATGGGATGATTTGTGGGATAAAAAGTATCCTATTACCTTTCTAGGGTCTCAAACTATCTAATTTCATCTAAATCAATTCAGTAGATCCAGAGATTGCCCCCTACAACGTCACAAACTCACAAACTTTACCTCTTTATAATATTAGTATAGATTACAATTAGGTAAAAACTCATGTTATTATAAAAATCTACCAAAATAAATGTTACAATTATTAGTTGTAAACTATAAATCAAACCTTATTATCCTATTTTACTTATTAATTATACAATTATTATTTAATTATTATTTGTTACCAATACTTTTTAACCCTATTTATGGACTCTATTTTTTATATAATAAAAATTAATAAGTCCACTATTTAGATACCGTGTTAATAGTTGAGTTCAATGTTAATATTTATTAATGTTTTCAGCATGCAGCTTGGCTTACTTGATAAATTGTAGCTTATTTTTCCTCACTGTTACCATGAATCAGTTAGGAACTCTGTTTGTGCTACTGCAGGCAGATTTCCGAGGAATAATTCAATCCAGAGACAAAGATATTGATATTAAAATAAAAAATACTATTAAACGGCATTTAATCTTATCAGAGTAAGTATAATACGACCACATTATAGAACATCGTTATTGTTTATTCTGATGCATTTAAATAAATATTTTGTTTTTTTGTTAATATTATGTATAATATGAGAATGTATTACTTATATTACTAAAATATGGAATGTATGATATGCAATATTTACAAAAAAATGTTTTATTAGTAAATCTACCGTATAATAAAGTACAAAATCTATACATATAATAAAATTCTAACTAAGTCAAATCTGTACATTAAATATTTTTTGGGAAATCTAATTGAAATAGACATTATTATCGATACAGAGTCCGAATCTATAGTTTTTAGAATTTTGTCTGTCTGTCTGTCAGATTTTGTCTGACAGATTTTGATGAAATTTGGTATGATGATAGCTGGTAATCTAGTCAAAAATATCTCATTTCTGAGAAAAATACAAAAACACAAAAACTGCATTGTAAGAGTTACTATACTAATATGTAAAACCTAAGAATTAGGTTTTTGGTCATCTGAACGCGGGCGGAGCCGCGGGCAATGCTAGTAGAATTTATATACATGAAAACCGATTTATGTTGGCCAATCACTTTTGTATTTCAAAGGCGTGTGGAGCACCGAATGATTGGATTGCGTTGTACCATACATGGTCAATCAGTTTGATTTCCTTAATCTATGTGTATAACCATTTTGCCACAACCCACTAATTTGCTGCTGACAGACAATCTTCAGATTAATCCAGCCGGTCATCCTGTGAAGTTTGTTGACGATCGGAAGTTTGAGTACGGGCGAAGCCGCGGGTTCTACTAGTAAAAGATAAACCGTAGATTCAGGTGATAAAAAATCGGTTATTGATATTAATATTCGTACTTACCATCACTACCACCGCTTGAACTTTAAGCAACTATTTGAGTGTAAATCGTCTCTGGGATACTATAAAGCGATTTTCTTTTATTCTAGACTGTTGATTGAATTGAGCAGCGCTTATGGCGCCATTTTTGCGATACATATTTTCTTTTTGTTTGTCACAATTGGTTTCTATGGGATCGCTGCCAGAGTAAGTTATACTTCATAGGTACTTAGCTCATAATTACGATATAAGTTTTATTTAATATTGTATGATTTATGCTTAATCTTGAATTTTTGACTTATTTACCTATGAAAATAATGTCTAGTAAAATGAAATATTTATTTTACAGATCAACAGTAGACCAGAGGACTTTAAAAACTTTTTGATATCTGTTTTAACCATTGTCAATATTTTTCATTGCTGTAGACATGGCCAGCTCGCCACGGACTCGGTAAAATAAATAACGACATGTAGAACTAAAAATATAATCTCGGTACATGGGAAAAATATAAACTGAAGTTACAACTAGAACAATTTATTAACTATTTAAATAATCAAGTATAATATAGTTTTATACATACTTTGTAATTTACAAAAAAAAACTATTTTTCTGTCTGCGCTCTATCCTTACATTATTTCCCGATAGAAGTTCAGATTTAGTAGAAAACCGTTAGTAAGGTTATCGGTCGCCAACCTGCACACCGAATAAAGAGTATTTTGTAGTAAAGATGGTTTTCTTAAAGTATGATCTACGCATAACGCTTGTCTTTGTAATAGCAATAGAGATTTTTGTCTCGATCAATGTATGCAATTTTACACACGATGTGCACGATGGTCTTAGTTAACGCAATGCTTATTACACTACTCCACTTATGATGAGCAGGCTCTAAATCATCCAAAATAAAATTTCTAAAGAATAGTCCGTTTACAATAATTACATCTATGCCATAGCTAAATTAATTATACTTCGTTTTTAAAAACAAACAACAAAGCTCTAGACCAACTTATGTAAAGGGTTCGTCAAAACGCATTAAATTAGCCCAAAAACGGTTTTACTTCTAAAAATTAGGTATCTTCTTTAATTTGTAACTATTAACAATACTATCTATGCACCTCATAACTCCATCATTAGATGAGATCGATGATATCAAAGTATTACATTGGTAACCCGGATTTCATATACCTACAAAGTTTCAAATTGATACGACGATTAGAAGTAGGTTACGACGAACTTACAACTTTGATTACATGGTTCGTTATAAGTGCTAATAAGAGCGTGTTAAAAAGCAAGTTCTGCTAAGACTGCAGTAGTCTTCACAAAGAACAATTAAAAGAATAAAACTATTTTTCAGTTTTTCATCGTATTATCTACATATGCTATTTAAGTTAGTTTGATGCCAATTATCATGACCAAATAATATTATTTACATCGATAAACTATACAATCAATTTTTAATTGTTAATATCTTATATAGCATTTAACACTAAAAATATTTATTCGTGTTTATAATATAACTCTGATCTACAATTTGTATATAAAGACTAATAAGCTAAAAAAAACTCGCTTTCATTATCACCACTTAAATTCAGGCTCTAAAATCCAAGTCTAACATATAGTTCGTCAAATAAAACCCAATAAGTCCAAACTCAAATTATTTATAAATAGCCTATGAAAAGTTCCATTATCCAACTTCTGGCTTCACCATCAGTTCAGCTCGAATAAACAAAATTACTGTACTGTCATCGGAAAAACAAACACTTATAAAGTTTCACGTTCATTTGACAATGAGAAGTAGGTAAAAAATTAATTAAATCAGCGGATTTACTTGAAAACGGTATACTCTATGTCAACTAATATTTTATGGTGCCTCCTGGGAATCAATCTTATTAGAATACAATTTAAGCGAACAAAATCAGTTTAGCCGTCTCCGAGAAATCGGTGAACATATGTACATATAAAAATACAGACAGATGAACATTTAGTCTTCTTTTTTTGAAAGTCGGTTCTAAACAATTATTTATTATTCATACGTTTACTGGATAAAATATCGCATCGTTGTATATTCCTGTACTTTTATCACAGGCTCAGGATATATCCACTGCTATATATGATAGCCCTTGGGAGGATCTGTCCTGTAAGAATAAAAGGATTATATTTCTAATAATTCTAAGGTAATTTGTTTATTATATTATGGAAGACTTGATAATATGAAAAGTAATATGGGAAAAAATGACAAAGAATTTTCATGGTCGGATTAAAAGAAAAGCACTTGAAATATTTTTTACGAAAGTCTACAGAGATGTAAGTATATACCATGTATACGATGGTAACAGATTTCAAAATTATATATTTTTATTGCCAAAATTATTTTTATTTTTAATTAAAATATACGTTAATTTGTAAATGCATTATGTCAAAAAAATTATAAATATTTTGTGTAAATAATATACTCCTTAAGCAAAGCTATTTAAAAATAATATCGAAAGAACTATGCTTCCTGCTTAGTATTTTATTATTAAATTACAAAAAAAAAATAATAACCATTATAAAAGATTGTAGGAAATTAATTATAATAAGAGAGAAAGTTTAACAACGTTTATTGCCCGGTAATACTTTTTACAGTGACATGGAACATGACAAATTTAAATAGAAAAATAAATAGTAGGCACACAAGTTAACAAAGAGGTTGGAACTATTCATATATAAAATTACAATTAAATATTTTATGTTTACTATTCCAACATCCTCCCTTAAACATAAATCAATCCCATCTTGGTAGCACAATAATTCAATTTTGAATATGGCGTTGCTTTGGTGAGTGCATCAGCTACCATCATGTTCGTCTGTATGTACTTTACATTAATGACCCCTCCAACAACTTTATCACGTACATAGTGGTGCCTCACATCAATATGTTTAGTCCTTGGATGGTAGCCATCGGAGCCTGAAAGTTTTATAGAACTCTGATTATCAGTATAGATGATCATTGCTTCATTCTTGAGCAAAGGCCAAAAACTTTCTTGAAGTTGTTTCAGCCACATAGCCTCTTGTACACATGAAGACAAAGACATATACTCTGCTTCGGTTGTAGACAGAGCAACAGTAGGCTGGCGTTTAGAATTCCAGCTGATTGTTCCTCCCTGAAACAGGAATACGTAGCCAGTACAGGAACGTCTGTCGTCCTCCGAGCTTGCCCAGTCTGCATCACAGAAGCCATGAGTCATATTCTCCTCCGAATTTTGTTTATAACTCAATCTATACTTTTCAGTGCCTTTTAAGTAGCGCATAACTCGCTTCAGGGCTATCCAGTGTGACATTTCAGGTTTGTTATTGTATTTACTTAACATATTTATAACAAAACTTATATCTGGCCTGGTAATTTGTGAAATATACAATAGACAACCAATTATCTCTTGATAAGGGATTTCATGTAAGGTACATGATTCTTCAGATTTTTCTTTAAATTTTGTGTTAGCATCTATTGGAGTCTTAACACTTTTACAATCTGACATCCCATATTTATGTAACACTTCTTGTATATATTTCTTTTGATCTAAATATATAACTCCTTTCTTCCTGTCTCTCTCTATATGTATACCAATACAATATTTTATATCTCCCAGGTCCTTTATTTTAAATTGTTTTTGAAGCTCTTCCTTAACGTATTTTTTTGTGTCCATATTATTTGTAAATAAAATTAGGTCATCAACATATACAGCTAAAAAAAACATGTTATTGTTGTCCACAATTTTATAATAGATACAAGGATCTAACTTGTTCTGTGATAGACCCATTCCTTTCAGCGTAGAACTAAGCTTCTTGTTCCATTGCCTACTGGCCTGTTTCAATCCATATAGAGATTTTCTCAGTCGACATACTTGTTTACCATTGTCATACAGTGGTGGTTGTAACATATATATCTCCTCCTCTATGTCGCCTTGAAGAAAGGCTGATACGGCGTCCATTTGACAAATGTCCAAATCAAATTTAACTGCCAAAGCAAACAAATATCTCAAGGAAGCATACCTTACAACCGGTGAAAATACTTCCGTGTAATCTATCCCAGGTTTTTGTGAACAACCTTTAATCACAAGCCGTGCTTTATACTTAACCATTTCCCCATTTTCATTAGTCTTCCTCTTGAAAACCCATTTGCATGGTAAAGGACGTTTG